TTCTTCACTGAATGGTGCACACTTCAAGGCTTGAATAACATGGTTCCCACCATGTCGGACACGAGCATGCTCACCAAAACCAGTAGCTCTTTGATTGTCTTTTCAGTAGTTTAGAATCGTTAATTTTCAATTGAAATACTGGTGATTAGCCTTTATTCACTACAAAAACCCAGTTAGTGCAGAAAAGTATGTACATTTTGCTGGTTAAAAAGGCATGATCTAATACAGGGCTATTCAACTGGTGGCCCGCAGGCCAAAGTTCGGCCCGCCAATTGGTTCATTCATCTCTTAAGCCCAAATCCCTGGTTTTCTAAGTAAATTACTAGAAGTTCTTTAAGCTGGAAACGCCAGAATCTTGGCTACAAGCTGATAAAAACATTTCTATGCACACTCAAGACAGTTAAAATTACAAGCAATTGAAGATAAAACTATGACAGTGAAAATAAAATGGGTTTAAAAATTTGGCAAGTCAGAGATGTTAAAATATTTGTGTTAATTAGGAGGCAAAATGTGTTATTTTTGTTTTTGTTGTTTTATTATCACTACCTTTATAGGGTTCTGTATGTTGTATTCATGATTAAATGCAGCAAAATAAACAATTTCAAAGTTAACAGATCTTTGTAATACTTGGTTTATTTACATGATTTTAATAACTGGATGTTCGGCCCCTGAGCTGATGACCTGCAGTAACTTTGGCCCCTGGAGCAATTTAGTTGAATAACCCCCTGCTCTAATAAAACAAAGTTGATTTTTTTGGGAAAATTGATACCTGGAAACATGACTTAACAGTATGTTCAGGGGTCTGCAACCTTTATGATCAAATGAGCCATTTGTGCTACATGGCTCACTAATAAAATGCGTTCAGAGCCGCAAAACAAGCTACAACTGTGATTACTAACTGGTGGTCCGTGGGCCTTTTCATGGCCTTTTAACCACCAACCACCTTTATAATGCCACTTCCACTGACCTTTGTGGTCAGTGGAAGTGGCATTATAAAACTAAAAAAAATATACTGTGAATTTTATTATTTATTATTATTTTTACACATCAGGATAAATGAAAAGACCATATTCATGTAAACATGAAAAAATACTGTATAAAGTTTATATTGAATTTCATAAAAACTAGTACAACTATTCTGGTAATTTTTTTTTCCTAATTCTTATTACTAAGTAGTCTTCAAATCTTTTAAAGGTAATTCTAATGGATTTGAGAAAGAAGTTGGTTTATTTAAGTAAAAAAACAGGCTAGCATGAGCTAACATGTTTTACTATTTGTATTAGTAGCATTGATCATGTTTTTGAATTCAAATTGATTAGTGTTGTGAGTATAAAAAACAAACAAACAAAAAAACTTGTTATGCTTGGTCACATTTTCAAAGAGCCACATGTGGCCCCAGAGCCGCAGGTTGAAGACCCCTGAGTGTTATGCATGCATTTCTGCTTTCATTATGTAAATCAAGCACGTTTTCTTAATTTATTTTGATCTTTTTTTTTTCTTTTTTTTTTTGAGCCAATGCCTAAAATGATGCCCTGGCTGTCTCTAAAATAGGAAGTAAACAACTAGTTGACACATGGAAGTTTGAGAACTTTCCCTATTCAACATTAGTGCATATTCCTGTTATTCCAAGCCACTAGACAAGAACAAAAAGTTTTTGTTTTTTAAGGACTGGACATGACAAGTAGGAAAACCCCAAATTCAGTGATTAAAATCAGGGGATGAATCAGAAATGAGTAGCTGGAAGGAGTGTGGTGGAAATAAAATCCCAGAAATATACAAAAAGACCAGCAGGTTTGTATTTAACTGCAGCATGCATTAAGGGAGGCTGTTATCCTAACCACAGTTCCAGATTTATGAGCCAGCTTATTTAAAGCTCCATGCACAGCTGCAGTTTATCATTCACAACTGACTGTTGCAGAGCAAGAAATGCACAAACAATCCAACAACATTGCTTCACTTCTCGTGTGAATGAACAGATTACTCACCTCGTCCTGTTCCGGAGGAATATTAATTTTATAAGAGGGTGTGTGTAACTGACCAGACCATTCTTGGATATGCTGGTGACCCGAAGCCTGTGGTCCAAAATGTGTAAGTCCATAGTTTTGGGAACGGGGAAAGCTGCTCCTCCGGTCGGTTGTTCGTACATGCAGGAAGAAAAACGACTTCGGTTCCTAGCTAAAGCGCTATATATCGTTCAAATGTTAACTTATAGAGCCGGGTGTGGAGCATTACCGACGGATATAAAAAGCTCAGCTCCGGCTAGCTGTGCTCGGCTCACAAGACGAAAAAACATCCGACCCAAGCAGGCAAGCTCAACTACTGTATATTCAAATACAAGAGGCCGCTCCGTTCACGAGACTCCGCCTCTTAAAGGCACAGCCAATGGAATCTTCTTCTTCTTCTTCTTCTTCTTCTTCTTCTTCTTCTTCTTCTTCTTCTTCTTCTTCTTCTTCTTCTTCTTCTTCTTC